TAATAATGTAATTTTATTTTTTAATTAAAATATAAATGTTTATCTACGTGATATTTTTATTTATCTATATAAAATAATTATAATATATATAATTGGCATGTCATCAAAAAAATTAAAAAAAAATGTCAAATGAAATTATTTAATTATCACGTCTTGTTTAACTGATAAAAGAATCAAAATTGTGTAATTTTTAGAATTAAAAGATCAAAAAAGTGAAAAGAATAATGTAAGGATCAAAAAAATGCAAACTTATAAAGTTGAGGATCAAACTTAGCATTTAACCTTTTCTTTTTCTTTTTCCGGCACGTGGAGAGTGACATGGAGGGTATTATTAAATCCACATCAGCTGTTCTCGTTAAGTTAACGTGCTATGTGAGCAAAAATTAACGAAGGGACCAAAAAGGGGCTGGATTTGTGAACAGTAAGGACTAAAAATGAGATTTTTTCGGTATAGGGACCAAAAAAGGGCTTTTTCCTATAGTAGAGGGACCAAAAAGGGTATTTAACCAAATTTTAATTTACATTCATTAAGATTCTAATTTTAATTTACAATAATTAATATTATAATTTTTAAAAAAATTTAATTTATTATTAAATATTAATATTTTTAATAAATAAACCTTTCAAAATTTAATTTAATTAAATTAACACCCACATATAATTAAAATTACTTGAAAAAATAAAAAATCATTTCAATTTTATAAATCCCCAAATTAAAATTAGACATGTATTATTAGTGTTAAAAATAAAAATAAAATTTTTTATTTTTTAGACAAAGTAGTAAAAAATATGTAATTTAATAATGATATTAAATTTGTTAAGAAATAATAAAATTTAAATTATAATATTGATTATTATAAATTAAAATTAGAATCTTAATAAATATAAATTAAAATTATTATCTTAATTAATTAGTACATTTGACTTAAAATATAAACTTTAAAAACAAAATACTACAAAATATATATACTAAATTTAACGTTTTTAAAAGTTTAGAGTTAGTTTGTCTACAATAAGAAAAAATTTCGTTAGTTAATTAATAGAATATTTGTTAAGTAAATTATTTCAAAATAAGATTGATAATTTATAAATTATTTAAAAAAAATTATTTTTAAATTAAATTAAAATAAATAATAAAAATATATGTACTATAAATATTTTTGAAAAGTTTAAGAAACAACTTATCTACCCAAACTTTTCTCTGTTAGTCTAATTGACTGAATATTTGTTAAGTAAATTATTTTAAAATAAGATTGATAATTTATAAATTATTTAAAAAAAATTATTTTTAAATTAAATTAAAATAAATAAAATAATTAATAGGTTATTTATTGAATTTAGGAATAGGCGATGGCAATTTCCTGGAACTGCCACCAATAGGCAATACCTCTCGTTCTGAAAAATCAAAAAGGCACACCGTCTCCCCTCAAAGGAAGTCATCAATAATATTAATACAAGCCCCTGGATTTTCCAATTCCGACTCAGGTTTTCTAGAACGTTTGGGAGAAGAGGTGCAGCTTCAGCCATCCAGCCGATTCCCTAACCCACAAAGATTTGTACTACTTGTTCCAAAAGGAAAAAAAAAACCCAGGATGATGAAATTACAGAAACGACCTTCAGAATCTCTCCCATACCCTTCATCGTGCTCTGCCATAGTTTCTGTTGGAGGACTGATCTGATCTACCAACCGTGGGACTAGATTGGGAGCTCTGGGTGGGCGGCAGACTTGTTATTTGGAGCTTGCGGCTGTGAACGTTGACCTGTTTCGCCTAGAGGTTAGTCTCTGCTCTTATTTTCCTCATGAAATTATTGATTTTTTTTCTTTTTTTATTTTTCAGTAAATTTGTAATTAATATCTAAAAATCCTATTGATTTTATTTTCTATTGTTTTTTTTTCTTTTAATTCTAAAAGTTAGTGAAAGGAGAGAAGCTATTCTGTTCTTTAAATTCTATAAAGTGATCATCAAAGACATGAAGACCTAAAAGAAATTAGTTAGTTGCTGTTGAGAAAAAGAAAAATCATTCTCTAGTCCAGGAGGATGAACGGGGATGTTGTTGACGCCTTGAAAAAATGCGCGGAGGCGCTTCAACATGGGAATTCAAGACTTGCAAATGCAGAGATGGGAAGAGTTGTTGATCTTGCTGAAAAGGAAACCGAGCCTAGAAATAGAAGATTGATCAGATATTTTGCACAAGCTCTCGCTTGCCGAGCCTATGGATTTCATCCTAAATTATTTTCAGTCCCATCATCCGACTGGAAGAATAAGATTAGTGAATGGTGTGGCATTTTGCCTACTCTAGGTTGGGCTATTGCAGATGTCATCAAGGGAAAACGCAAAGTCCATGTTATTGAACCTGTCAAGCACATGGATATTTTTGAGCAATGGGTATCCTTTTTAAGTGAGAGTTACAACTGGGTTGGCCTGACGCATTTAAGGTTAAGTTTCCTTGTTCAAGAAAACGTTGAATTTTCGAAAGAAAGTGAGAACAAATTTATTCGGGCTTTTCACCATTGCCAGATTGCTTTGGAATATAAGATTTTTTCTGTTAACAGTTTCGCTGACATTGATGTGTCTTTGCTGGAGTTGCGGGATGGCGAGTTTGTGGTTGTGTATTGCATGTGTGTATTCAGCAAAATGTTATCGGAGGCATTAGCTCTGGAGAAGCTGTTACTGAGGGTGAGGGATGTCATGAGAGCGGGTATTATGATTGTTGTAGAGCATGAAGCTAACCACAACCAGTCTGATTTTTTATTGCGGTTTGATGAATCACTTAAATATTATTCTTCTACATTCAGAGGATTTCTTTACCGTGATATTGAGACTTATTTTAGATATCAAATATGGAACATAGTGGCGTGTGAGGGTAGTAACAGGGTGGAGCGGCACCAGACGTGGGCTCAATGGAAATCCTTGCTTATTTATTATGGATTTTCTATTTTTAATTTGGTAACCAAATGGGAAAGCAAAGAACATGAAGAGTGGACAAAAGATGGTATCTTGGTGATCACAAGTACTGAAACAGAGAAGCGGCCAATATTTTTCGTTTCTGCTTGGAGAACATTAACATCCCCCTCCAAATCATCGGGCTCTGATGAAGGTTAGTATCTTCTACCGAGTTAAACTGGCCCCTTAACACTAACCAAAAATATATTTGGAGTCAATAAAAAGTTTTGAGACTTAAATAAATAAAATAATAAATAAATTAATCAATGACTTTTAATTTCAATCACAAAGATTTATGTGAATTGGAATGTAAACTATTTTTGATGTGTCAAACTGAACATTTTATAAAAAAATAAAAAGCGTCAAAAGTATTATTTAAAAGGTACCGCACCTAACATGGTATCAAGTTTCATATGTTGCCGAAGTAATAGAGAAGCTCACGGTGTAGTGATTTTGATGTCCAATTTCTGACGCAAAAACAGTAATTTTTTACAGCATTTTTTAATTTAGTGGTTTGAGTTGTCATTTCATTAAACCACCTCAATCGCTGCCTAATTAACTCAATTTTCTTGAAGGCCCAAGAAAAAAAAAAACTCAATTTACTTATTCTCTAAAAAAAAAACCTCAAATTTTTAAAAATCTTTGTAAACAAGACTGGCCTGATTTAATAAACTTTTACTTGATTGGTTACACAATTTGCTAGAAACTATAATATTTATTTATCTTTTATTTTACGCTG